TTTTTTCATCACTTGTATTCGTGATCATCACTATCATCCAACATTATGATTATCACTGTCATCAGCATTGTGACTATCATCACTATAACTACTACAGTCAACACCATCAGAGGCATCGACACTGGACTCAGGCACTCGGCGGTGGGGTAAAGTGCCCTTCCCAAAGAGCCATTCCCAAAGTGCCATTCCACTGCGATATAAATAGACGGGGATTATTAATTACCGTCCAGAGGATCGCCTAAATCGTCTGACTTTCCGCTAATTACCTATTTGCAATGCGTTAATGATCAGTCTGCCGATATGATTAATTGATTAATGGCATTACAGGTGAGATTACGTTCTCGAGAGTCTGTATTACGCGAACTGATGCTGTTGAAGCCGTCTGCTGTTTGACCTAATAACAACATTGCTCGTGATATTGGATAATGAGAGTAGCAATAGTATCATGGCAGTATTGGTCGTAATATAGTATTAATAGTAACATAGGAGTAAGATCAGTGTGACGATAGTGTTAATCTTATGAGGACGACAGGACTAATAATAGTAATTATGAAAATGCTTTGGTAATGCTTGCACTGATTGTAATGATTTTGATACTTGCTGACGATAATATAAGGAAATAGATTAAATTTAGACGTTATTAATTGAGCTAATGCTATCTCTGTCATTGTTGAAACTGATTATAATGACATCAGTAATATATAATAAGCACAATAATAGTTTTGTAGTATTGCTGTAGAAGTTAAAATTATACTGAAGATGATTTCCTTGATGATAGTAGTGGTAACAATGACTTGATACTTGGAGTTTGTGTTCAGCAGAGAAGTCGAGAGGCCTTAGTTGGCCTTTTCGCTTAACACGGATTTTGTTCTTCGAGAAAGGGAAAGGGAACAGAATAATGGAGAAACGATGAGCGAAGAAACGGGGGATGGTTGACGAACTGATAGACGAAGAAAAGCGTTTCGAGTTGCATGTGTCGCGCGGCTGGAAGGTTATGCAACGGATTTCCCTTCCATTTCATTTTCCGGCTACGGATGAGGGGGTATTCCGACTCCCACGGCTTCCTTCCTCCTCCTCCTCCCCCTCCTCATCCTCCTCCCCCTCCTCATCCTCATACCACTCCTCCTCTTCCTCCTCATCCTCATCCCACTCCTCCTCCTCCCTCTCCTCCCCCACCCCTCCTCCTCCTCCTTCTCCTCCTCCTTCTCCTCGTCCTTCTCCTCGTCCTCCTCCTCCTCCTCTTCCTCCTCCTCCTCCTCTTCCTCCTCCTCCTCCTCCTCCTCTTCCTCCTCCTCCTCCTCCTCCTCTTCCTCCTCCTCCTCTTCCTCCTCTTCCTCCTCCTCCTCTTCCTCCTCCTTCTCCTTCTCATCCTTCTCCTCCTCCTCCTCCTCCTACCTATCCTCCTCCTTCTCCTCCTCGTCCTTCTCCTCCTCCTCCTCCTTCTCCTCTTCCTCCTCCTCCTCCTCCTCATCATCATCATCATCATCCCATTCCTCCTCCTCCTCATCTCACCCTCCTCCTCCTACTCATCCTCCTCCTCCTCCTCCTCATCCCACTCCTCTTCATCCCCTACTCCTCCTTCTCCTTCCCCTCATCCTTCTCCTCTTCCTTTTCCTCCTTCTCCTCCTCCTCCACCACCTCCTCCCCCTCCCCCCCCTCCTCCACCCCTCCCCCTCTTCCTCCTTCTCTTTCTCCTCCTCCTCCTCATCCTCCTCCTCCTCATCCCACTCCTCTTCATCCCCTACTCCTCCTTCTCCTTCCCCTCATCCTTCTCCTCTTCCTTTTCCTCCTTCTCCTCCACCTCCACCACCTCCTCCCCCTCCCCCCCTCCTCCACCCCTTCCCCCTCTTCCTCCTCCCCCCTTTTCCTCCTCCTCCTCATCCTCCTTCTCCTCATCCTCCTTTTCCTTCTCCTCTTCCTTTTCTTCCCCCTCCTTCTCCTCCTCCTCCTTTTCCTCCTCCTCCATCCATCCCCCTCCTCCCCCTCCTCCCCCTTCTTTTCCTCCTCCTCTTCCTTCTCCTCCTCCTCTTCCTCCTTCTCTTCCTCCTCCTCTTCTTCCTCCTTCTCTTCCTCCTCTTCTTCCTCCTTCTCTTCCTCCTCCTCTTCTTCCTCCTTCTCTTCCTCCTCCTCTTCTTCCTCCTTCTCTTCCTCCTCCTCCTCTTCTCCTACTCGTCCTCCTCCCCCTCCTCCTACCCCCTACTCATCTCTCCTCCTCCTCCTCCTTCTCCTCCTTCTCCTATTCCGCCTCCTCCTTTTCCTCCTCCTCCTCCCCCTCCTCCGCCAGGAAACATTTCCTCCCCGTCGTGGGTCCCTCGAGTCCCAGCAGGGCCGCGGCGTGGAGGGCGCCCGCGCGCCGCCCGGTCTGGTCGCTCCCGTGATGCGGGAGGCGGCGCGGGCCTTTTTGTCCGGTCATCTGGGCGCCGATAAGATCGGTGGGCGGCCGTTTTTGCTGTGCCAGGTGGCGGGACGTCTTTTTTTCCACTTTACACGTGGAAATACGATGCATGTGTCAGCAGCCCGTCATGGCTGGACAGTTTTTGCCCGCCCTTCGACATTCCCGAATATTGTGATTGATCGACCGCCTTCGCCTGCTGCTCCTGCAGCCTGGTCGCCGCCGCCCTCGCCGCCGCCCTCGCCGCCTCTCCTCACGATGGTGGGCGGCAGAGAGTGGTAGCTACGTCTTTACGCCCACCTCGCGCTTTGCCTCTTGGTCTGCCGAAGTGTCTTTCATTTGACTCTCTCTTCCAATTCCCCTCCCCCTTCCCCTTCCCCTCCCCCTCCCCCTTCCCCCTCCCCTCCCCCTCCCCCTTTCCCCCTCTCTCTCCGATTTATCCAAAAGATGCATTTTATAGGCGTGCATGCGCGGATGCCCATATGTCACGCGCGACCCTAAGTTCGCGAAACTCGGCGGCTGCGCTGTCACCAAGGGTCCCAGACGGGCAACGACGCCCCTTGCCCTTCCTCTCCCGCGCCCTGTCTGGACCACCTCGGAGGCCTTTCCCCAGCAACTGCATCTCCTTTCCTCGTCCTCCCCGGCCGTAGGATCGGGAGATGAGGAGGCAGGGGAGAGGGAAAGCAAAGAGGGAAGTGGAAAGAGCCCTGGAGTCCTGCCGGGGGAGGAAACCATACAGTGGGGTCCGGGGGCTTGCCTCGGTGCCCCCACGAGGCGTGTGTTCGAGTCCAGCTGGCCCGGGGAACCTGCCGCTTCGGCCGATGCCTGCCGGCCAGGTGATTGATTACTGGGTCTGGCGCTGCTTGTGTCTTGGTATTTGTCGGATCCCCAGGAAATCGGCAGGCAGCGCGCCATGAAAGCAAAGAGCGGGGCGGCGCCGCGGGGCATGTGCTTGGACGTTGCAACACGCGGCCCTAAGGACGGGGATGACATTTCGCTCGCAGAAGCAGACACGCTCAAAAGGGACACTTTTGCGGTTCATTACAAATCGGGTAATTTGTCCTTGTCTGGGCGAGTCGAGACTTGGTGATGCAGGTTTCTCAGAAGCTTGCGGTCGGTCGCCTGTCCGTGAGATTGAATGGCCGCCGCGGAGCGGATTCGGGAGGGCTGGCGCGAGGGCGTCTGGCGCAAGCCGCGGGGATTTGGTGTCGTATGCATTTTCAGCAGAGGGCATTGTTTCGAATGAAAGGCGCTCTTACAAGCTCACTGAATGCCATTACAGCGCCTGAATTGTTAGACTGAGTAAACGGCGTTACAGATTAGCTGTTACGCTGATAAATAACATATGTTCATTACTTTGTTTAAAAGAAATTGACTTGGCTAACTACTAAACCGAGTGAACCAATTATCAGACGAAACAAAGTACCTATTACCGTTATTAGCTGTCATATACCTTTCTAAGACCCAAGCAAGTGCCTTCTAATCTTGCAACAAACGATGTGTGAAGGCTTGCACGTCCAAAACCATTCTCAGACCAATTGCCCGAAAATGCGTTTGCTATTTTTTTTTTTTTTTTTTACTGCAAATGTTCATCTGTATCATACGCATCGATGTGTTCGCGTTAATGCACTTCAAAATCCTGATTGTAGTGCATTCGCTTGAACATAGCGATCCTAACGATAATAGATTAAACTAAAAAGACAAGCGCATTTTCGGACAATTGGTCTGAGAATACGACTGAACGCGTAAACCTTCTTATAAAATATCTATGTAAGAGCATTGGGAATAAAGGAGCACCACTATTAGAAATGTTAAAAAGGGCAATAAACTGGACCCGCACCTGTTAGCGTAGACGTTTCCCAAACTGTGGTAGAATTGCTTACTTTTTTTCAATTGGGAAGGGGGAAGGGGGGGTATAGATTTGATAATATATCCTCCGAAAGAAAAATAAATCAATGATGTGGTACTTTGCCTATTTTGATTTTATATATAGAATCCGGATATATCCTGCAGTCGCCTACGGTGGTCACTAAGCGCCACGAAGTCTGCTATCGTAGGGTTTCAGAAACGTATTTACTTTTATATTTTTTTTATTTCTTCTTTTTCTTTTCTTCTTTTCTTCTTCTCCTCCTCCTCCTTCTTCTTCTTCGTCTTCTTCTTCTTCTTCTTCTTCTCCTCCTCCTCCTCCTCCTCCTCCTCCTCCTTCTTCTTCTTCTTCTTCCTCCTCTTCTTCTTCTTCTTCTTCTTCTTCTTCTTCCTCTTCCTCTTCCTCTTCCTCTTCCTCTTCCTCCTCCTCCTACTCCTCCTCTTCCTCCTTTTGTGTCAACATGAAGAAGGAAAGTGAGGTGGGTGAACCTAGCTGAAAACGTACATCGGGACGGGTAAGCTGGGTGAGAGGGTGAAATGGGTTAAGTGAAGTGGGTGAATGTAAACGAGGACGGGTGAACGGGTTGTAATAGGTTAATTACGCAAAAAAAAAGAGGTCGGTAACTTCAAGTGCACATTTTGTATTTTCTTAATGGTGACTGTTTCATGTCAAATATTTACCGTTGTTTTTCGTTGCTTTAAGTATCTCTGTAGATTTTTCTTATCTTTTTAGTGTTTTATTGGCATTGTGAATTTTATTTTTAATGTAAGGTAAGCGAGGGAGAAGAGTGAGAGGATTTTGCCAAAATGAAGAAAATCCGCAACAAAAGTTATTTTAATAAATAACGAAATTTAGAGGAATCGAAAGTAGGAAAACTTGGCCACAAATGGTTGCTGTAGGCGGGGTAATTTGGAAAAAAAAATATACATTTTTCCTTTTTTATCGGAAACCTAAATTGGATATATAGAAATTATGAACAGGTAACTTCAGAGAAGGGATTTTTTCAAGACAAAAAAAGACATTTCAGATTAAATCGCTGAGGGCAACGAGCAGCATTGGCTTTTCTAATCTTGGCCCAGCGAGCAGAAGGAAGGCCTGATGCCGCCGAACACCTTCGTGGAAAACGTTTACAGTACAAGAAGAGAAGCTATTTTAAGGATACATTCGAGCGACTTTAATAACGTCTTGGTTGAGCTGCGAGGAATTTGGTCGACGGATTTTCCCCGTTTGTTTTCGCGTTTGTTTGGTTGATTTTAGGGTAGATGTGCTTGTTTGTTTGGTTTGGTTTTGCTGGTAGCTTATTCGTTATTGTGGATTTTTGTTATTGTTATGTAGTTGTTGTTTCTTATCATTAAGGTTATTATTATAGTTGTAACTTTTTAATTATTTTATGTTTTCTCTTTTCGTATGTCCTTTGGTTTTTATTTTGTTCCGTTTGTTTCTTCTTTGTCTATTTCTGCTCCTCTTGCCTCTCCTGTTTCCGGTTCGGTCTCTCATTTCCAATTTGGTCTTTCCCATTTTATTCTTCTCGTCTCGTTCGTTTCGTGTTTTCGTTCTCTCCCTCTCCTCCTCCGCTCCTCGGTATCTCTCATTCCTGCAACCTTTTATTTTTTCCGTCCGATTCTTTCACTTTCCCTCTTGTTTATCCGTTCTTTCATTCTCTTTTTAATGAGTTCTCTCTATCATTCGCTTTGTCCCTTTTCGAGGAATTGGAAAGTTCAGTTATCTGCGTGAGCTTGTGCGTGGGCGTGTGCGCGCGGGAGTCTCTCCGTTCATTATGTGTGCATGGGTGATGGGTGTCTTTCTGTGTACTCTATATATATGTGTGTGCGTGTGAGTGTGTGTGTGTGTGTGTGTGTGTGTGTGTGTGTGTGTGTGTGTGTGTGTGTGTGTGTGTGTGTGTGTGTGTGTGTGATGACGAGATCAAGGCAATAACACACGCACGTAGGAATGCGTGGGGCGGACGCGTGTTGGTGTACAAGCAAGTAATTCTTGTACATGTGCATAATTCGTACGTAGGGAGAGTCGCCCCATGGCGGGTGGTGCAACTGTATTACTGGGTCTGTTCGCGGGGCAGCCTCCAGGCCGGGAACGGCTCACCTGTAGCCCACCCGTGCTAGGGCCCTCGCTCGCCCGATCACCAGTGGCTCGTTGGTACACTTCGCGGCACATACCTGCGGATGGGACGGAGGGAAGGAGGGAGAGAAGGGAAAAGGGAGGGAGGGAAAAGGGAGGGAGGGAGAATGGAGGGAAGGAAAGGTGGAGGGGAGGGAGGAAGAAAGGAGGGAAAGGTTGAAGGGAGGGAGGAGGGAAGGAAAGGTTGAGGGGAGGGAGAGGATGAACGAGGAGGATGAAAGACGTGAAGAAATAGAGAGGAAAAGGCAGGGGGAATGGAAAAACATATAGAAAGGGGGAGAAAAAGAGAGAGAGAAACAGACAGAGACAAAGAGAGAGGGAGAAGGAGAAAGAGAAAGGGAGTAGGGAGGGAAAGTTTTAGTGAAATGAGGCGAGGTAAGGGAGAGGGCAAAGAAAGAGGGGGAAGGATGTGAAAAATAGAAAGGGAAGAGAGAAGTGAGGATTGGATAACCCAGCAGAGAGAGAGAGAGAGAGAGAGAGAGAGAGAGAGAGAGAGAGAGAGAGAGAGAGAGAGAAAGGAAAGAAAGATTATGTATAGAAAGGCGAGATGAGGGTGAGGGCAAAGGCAAAGACAAAGGAGGGGGGGGGGGAGGAGGAGGGGAGAGAACGTGTAAAAAAACAGAGAGGAAAAAGAGAAGCGAGCAACAGAAAACCAAACAATGTAAGAAAGGAAGAGAGAGAGAGAGAGAGAGAAAGAGAAAGAGAGAGAGAAGGTTATGAGGACGGGGGGGGGGGGGGGTAAGAAACAGAGAGAGAGAGGGAGGGAGGGAGGGGAAAGGGGGGGGGGGGGCAGGAGGGAGGACTTCGCTACATCCAGGACTCGAGAGGGAAGGCTGTAATATACCTACCGACCCAGACAGCTCTATGCAGCCGTCAGTGTGTAATGACGGCATCTGGTTTGTCTCAGCGAGAAGGGGGGGGGGAAGGGGTGCCAAGAGAGGAAGAGGGGTGAAGGGGAGAAGGGGAGGAGGGGGGGGAGGGAGGAGAAGCAGTTCTTATGATAGTTGGAAAATGCAGTTTCATAGAATATATGAAATGTCGGTATTGAGATATATTCATAGAATCTCTGAAGGCATTTGGGAGACCGTGTGTGTGTGTGTGTGTGTTATTATTATTTTTTTTCCAGAAATAAGTTGAATATCATGTAATTACATTTCGGAGGGAAAATGTAATACGGAAATAGCAACCCTCTCCCCCTCCCTCCCCCTTCCTCTTTCCTTTCACTCATATTTGAATTATAAAGAGAAATGTTATTTTATGAATACTGAAATATTGACACAAAGAAAAGCGTGATAATAGTCAGGTGAAAAGCATGTGTTGATGAAAATGGAGGAGGAAAATATGTTTTGATAAATAAAAACATAATATATCAATGGATGTGGCAAAGAAAAAAATGTTCAATTTAAAGGTGACAGTGAAATGATAAAACGGTTTTTGTGACAAAGAAGGAAAAGGAATATATATATATATATATATATATATATATATATATATATATATATATGTGTGTGTGTGTGTGTGTGTGTGTGTGTGTGTGTGTGTGTGTGTGTGTGTGTGTGTGTGTAAGAAGGATATGACAAAGTAGATATTAAGATAAAGATGTGAAGAGAAAAAAAATAGCAGGATAAAGTACAAAGTGAAAAAAGAGAAATGATACGGATGGAATTATTTGACAGGTGTAATGGTGATTATAAAATGGAATCGATAACAATGCAACGAATAGGGTTTAGCAAAAAAAAAAAAAAAAAAAAAAAAAGGATAAACGCCAGTTTGCAAATAAGCAATGGACTTATTTATCGTATTGCAATTTCCTTTCGATTTTCAGTCAATGAACATCTTTT